AAGCAGAAAGATTGGGGGAAGTTTAACAGGTCTTCCAACAATTAAGACAAGTCTTAGGCTGCCCTCAGAGTTCCAGGTGGGGCACCATGTGGGAGGGATCTTGTGGAATAGATTAATCAGGAAAAAATACTTGTAAATTATCTACAACATCAGCTTGGCAGTTCCTTAATAAGTCAAGCCTAGAGTTGTCCTAAGACCTAGCAAGCTCATTCTTGGGTGTAAACCCAAAAGAAATCAGAGTGGAGTGCATGTGCCACTTTCTTATTACTGGGACAAAATACCTGACATCCACATGTGAAGGGGGAGCAGCTTATTTAGCTCATAGTTTCAGAGGTTTAGTGCACAGCCACTGGCTCCATGGCAGTAACAGCAGGGCAGAAGGGCATGGCGGAGGAGGACAAAGGCTCAAGCCATGGCAGCCAGGAAGCCAGGAGGGCTGAGGAAGAGCCAGAGCCAGAGATGCACACTCCAGAGACACGGCCATAATGATGTGCTCCCTCCCGCCAGGTCAGATCTGCTAACAGCACATTCAGCCATGAGTGGAATGGAACAGCCCTTTGAAGGCTGTGGTGCCCCCACGACCCAATCACCTTGCAGAAGCCCTGTCTGTGACCAGGTGAGATTTTGGGGGACATTTTAGATCTAAACCATAAAACAGATGCTTATTTTACTTTATTTATTTTTTGTAGTTTTAGGGAAGGGTCCACAGGGTGTTCAGGGTCTTACTACTAGATCGGACTTGCAGTGATTCGCCTGTTTACAGCCTCCCAAGAGCTGGGATTACAGGCATGTGCCACCATGCCCTGTGTCAGTCACTGTCTCAGCAGGCCCCGGGGGTGGGGCTGGCACAGGAGGCCCTGGGATCGAACCCCCGGCCTCTGCACCTGCTTGTGAGGACAGATGTTTAAACACAAACTTGTACACAAATGTCTAGTGTGACACTACTCATAGCAGCCAAAAGGTAGGGACAATTCAAATAACCACCCCCAAATAAATGGACAAACAAAATGTGCTGCACATCCAATGAACAAATGCATCCATAAACATGAATGACGAGTTAATACAGGCTGTACCACAGATAGATCTTGAATACTCTATGCTATACAAAAGAAGCCAGCCACAAAAAGCTCCAAGTTGTGCAATTTCCTTAATATGAGATACTAATGTGCAAAGACACCAGGAAGATCAGCATTTGCAGGGATGGAAGAACAGACATAGGCAGTGATGGGCACAAGATTGTCATGTGGGGTGATGAGACAGTTCTGGATCTAGGCAGCGGCCAGCATCCCCTCTCTCTGCCTGCCTATTTCCTTCTTAGGAGTCTCTTGGGCTTGAAGAGGCTCATTTCAGGTTCTTTATCAAACAAAACAGCTTGATTATGTCTGATGGGTGACTTTGACCTTCAAAACGCAAAGGCCTGTTTGCTCCAATTATCTTTGGAGGAAGGACACACGCAGAAGGCAGCTTTTCATTTTTTGTTACTCTTTCAAAACCAAATGCTGTCTTCTTCCTTAAGGACAATAGCACTTGATTGGTGGTCTCCACGAGGGGTCGGACTTGGTACTGCAGGTGTGGACTTCCTGGGTCCTCCCTAGGCTCAGGCAAGTTCTGGGGACAGCCCGTGGGGTTCTCTACTACCCTCTGACTGGAGTGCAGATCAAAGCACAATTTCACCTGGCAACAGGAATCCTGGGATCCCAGAGGGGTTTAGAATTTATTCCAGGACAAATGGGAAACATTGCTGATTTCATGTGAGACATGACCTAAATTGTACAATGGAAAGAATTCTAATAGTCCCTTAGAACAGAAGTTAATGCTTTCTGTGAAGGGCTACATTATAAATATTTTCACCTTTCCAGCTATTCGGATTCAGTCACAGATATTCCACTATGCTGTCACAGGATCAAAGCAGTCAAATGGCATGTAAGTGAGTGGATGTGATTGTTTCCCAATAAAACTTTATGGATAAAACCAGGCTGTGGGTGGGGTGGGTTTAGTCCAAGTGTCATCTTTTGTGAGCTCTGGCAGAGGTTGAATTATGAAAAGTGAAATTTAGATACATAGAAAACAAACAAACAGCCATAGTAGACATTTCTCTTGTTTGGTTTTGGTTTGTTTTCATTGTTTTCCAGACTCTATTCAACTTTCCCTGGATAACAGCATCATCTTTTTCCACCAGCAAACCATTCTCTCTGCTACACTTAGCTCACCCGACGCAGTGGACTCCACCTTCTTCTCAGTGCACGCACGGGACAAAGCGCTGACCAATCAGAATATGCAAGTCCTGGCCCATAGTGGCTAAAACATGGGCAATCCTGGGACCCAGTGAGAAGTTCTGATTGGAGGCACCTCTCACCGCTGGCCTTGACCCCAGGAGGACATGGCCTTGGAGAGTTGGTGGACTTTTTGACACCAGTGAAGCTTGGGTAGAAAGGACACCTGAGAGCTTCAGAGATGCATATTAAGATATGAGGAGCACTGACCTAATACTTTACTTTTTAGGGTCATCCCAAAGGCTCTTTTGGGATGAGATGTTCTTTTGCTCAAGGAAAATCATTAGTGGATGGCTTTAGACTTGCAGCAGATGTGGCATCATTGATTTTAGGGAATGAAGTTGCTAGAGGCAATGTGGCTTTCTGGGTCTGCTGGCTCTATTTGGTCTGAAGATGTTTGTTTATGCCACAGGTGGAGGGATGCTCCTTGAGATTTGGTCCTTTAGAGAACCACTGCATTTTTAGTAGAAGGTGAACTCTATTTGTGCTCAGATCATCTTGCACCCTCCTGAGAAAAGTTTTCCATGTGAGTATGGGGTGGAGAGGAAAGGGAGGCGCCTGGTGCATGGCTACCCACAGCATATTTGGGGCTCTGGCTAGAAGGTGAGGAGCTTCATGAGGGGCTTGGGAGACTACACTAGCTGTGCCATGTCAGGGCCCAGATGACAAAGCGATGTCCACAGTCACTGGGACCCTAGTTCGTCTGGGATTCCAGGCCTTGGGAGAATGAGAGCAGGCACTGTGGGACTCCCTCCAGGAGGAATAGCTCAGTAGGGCAGCAGGTTGGAAGACTAAAGCCAGCACTGATAACAGTGATGCTAGCAGCCCTCCAGGCATCCTGGTTCCCCAAACCCTCATGATGCTCACAAAACATCCTCCTGAGGAGATCCAGCTCCATGACATCATTATTAGAGTGCTATTAGAAATAAAAGCTTCATGTTCAGTCACAGATAGGGGGATCTGAACACATCCATGAACATGGACAAAATTATCCCAGGATAAGACAGATATTCTGTATAACAAACATTTACTACATGATCATAGAAACTGAACCAAAAGTTAAGGTACCTTCTTCCTAAAGTTTCACCTCTGTAGGTCTAAAACCATGCACATCAAACAGTAGTGCACAACCAGCAGATGTCAAAGAGAACTGCTTGGCCCTGGCAGTCTGAAGGGAATGTGGAAAAGGGATGAGGGGCCCACAGGTCCTTTCTCTGGGGTCGTCTTCTTTTTCTCTCCAGTGGTATCAAACGTCTTCCAATGCATTGTAAAATCAGAGGTTTGTTGGATCAAAGACCTTCATAATTTCATTGCGTAAGTACTGGGAGAGAAGATCCTTGTTTTATGGTGGTATGCTTCGCCTGCATCCTTTCAATTACCATGTAGTGTTGGATCATAATGGAAAGTGGGCGTGATGCCATTCACTTGACAAATCTTTAAACACGAGGTCTTCTCAGCTGGTTTCCTGATTATTTTGGATCACATTGCTGTTGAGCTGGGTGACTCTGGGTCATAAAAGCATCCTGCAAGACCCTAGCATCTCTCTTGAGAGCAAGTGAGCTTCCAGGGATGCCTGCTGCTTCTTTATGGTTCAGTTTAGGCTCTTGTTCCACCCAAAACCAAGGGCTTTAGTGTGGAGGGGCTGCTGGGCTCAGAGGCTTGCAGGAGAGGTGCTTGGGTGGTGGGTACCTGAGGATGCACTCCTTCCTTCCAGCTTCCTGTCTTGTGGCTCTTGTAGTTACCAGCTCAGCGGGAGAGGAAAGCACTCAGCCATGAAGGAGGCCCATTCTCTACTTGGGTACTCAAGGCTGCAGGCTCCATGAGCCCTTCTGGCCACACTTGGAAGGTGTTTCATGGGGGCGTATGGCCCTCACAGTGTCTGCAGAGCTAGGAGAGCAGGCTGTGCTTCTAGCCATCCAGCCAGCCCTTTCCTACCCTGCCAGAACTGGACATGAGGCAGCCCAGTTGGATCCTCCTACCAAAGGTTATTGCTGTGTATGGACCTGAGCTGGGTGACTCTGGGTCATAAAAGCAGCCTGCTGCCTCTGGTGGTTTAACATTGAATGCATCTTCTCTCGTGTAGCCCAGGACAACAGCTTCTGACTTCTCCCTGCTTCCCGAGTGTCTCCTCTAGATCCCAGCAGCCACTGATATCTATGCGGCTTGCTGAGCTCCCCGACTCCAGGGCCCTGCTCACATGGAATGTGGAGGGCACCTTGGACCTAAATGTCTAAGATGTGACAAATGTTCATCAGAGCCATGAAATGCAGAGGGCAAGGCCGGAAGATCAATGCTTCTAACACACTGACCTCCTCCTGTTGCTCCTCCACCTAGAGTCCTCACAAGGACTCCCCAGTGTGGAAAGACTCAACACGAGGTCCCTGGCCTATTGCACAAAGACTTCCAGGCTGGGCTCACTCTTCCATCATCTCCCTCCTCTCCGACTCTCCCAAGCCCTGTCCATCCACCATCCCTAACTCTTTGCAGTTTCTCAGTATCTAGAGTCCTGAATGTTCCTTCCTGTTCTGTTACCACCTCTCAAGACCAAGGATCACATCTTCTTTCTTCACTACCTTCTCCCTGAGCCCTGAGCTCGGCATCCTCTTCTAAACTATAGATCCAGAGCCGTGCAGCAGTCACGTGGTTACAGGCGCCGTTTTCATTGGCTTGTGACGTCACAGTGGGTGGAGCTACTTCCTCAGTCCTCAGTCTCCTGTGGGCCCCACACGACATGTGGTGTGGAGCAGGAATGGGATAAAGACTCAGGGAAGAAATGAGTGAAGTACACAATGGCCAGAGGCCTCTAGGACCGCGAATCCCGCTGGAGAGGTGACCTGCGGCTGGGATCCATCGCTTGCCTGCAGGGAAATTGGCACAGGAGGAATGCACGTGGTGCTGTGAGCCGCGGGCACTAAGGTTGTTCAGAGAGGGAGCGCGCACAGCAGCGCTGAAGGACCGCTTCCTGGGCATTCCTGAGCTCAAGGAAAACTCAACTCTGCTGTCCCATCCAGGGAAACACCTGAGATTGAAAGCAAGAGATTTGCTTCAGGTCACTCGGAGAATTGCCTGCAGAGCGCAGGGGTCAGATCACATAGGTTGCCTGATTTCCAGGCATGCGTTCTTAAAGAAAAAAACCCACCAAGCTGGGACCAACAGGCATTTTGATGTTTTCCTATAAATAATTTAGGGGGAGGGGAAGGAAACGAAACAGAATTTCTCTGCTAAATATTGATGCGGTAGCTGCTACTTAGAGCAGATTGCATGTGATGGTTTCAATTAGATTCTCTTTATGTGCCTTTAGAAGTCGGTTTTTTAAAAAGGACAGGATTGTAGTGTGTTATTAACGCTGACAGCTCCTGTGTTCGCTCTGTGCTTCTGACGGAATGGGGGCGGGGATCCCGCTCTATCAACATAATCCGCGCGGGGAGCAGGGAGCTTGTGCTCATTTCTGAGGAGACCAGCGGGAACAGCCTTCTCCTTACATGGGCGGAAAGGCTGGTGTGTGCTTCTGAGCTGATGGGAACACCCACTTCAGCACTGCCTCCTGGGCATCCCCACCACCTGGATCACGGCAGAGGGTGGGCAGCAAAGCGCTGAAGGCCAGTGTGGCCAGTAGATTTCTATGGAGAGAGAGAGAGAGAGAGAGAGAGAGAGAGAGAGAGAGAGAGTTCATGTGCAGGAAGTGTGGTCCGACTGATGGTGCTGAGGTGGTAGAGCCTTGAAGAGGCAGACTTGCAGAGGGATTAGTTCCTAGGAATCCCACCTTGAATGGATAAACGTTAACCTCGAAGGACTGACTGGCTGGGTCTTGTGGGACTAGATGGATTCCCTCGAAGACAGGCTGTTAGGAATGCAGCCACCCATTCGCTTGGTTCCTTCTGCTCCCAGCCCATTCCATCCCTTTCTGTCTTTCTGCCACATGCACTGCTGACAGAGGGCCCCTAGTGGAATGCTGACCTCCTGCTGTTTGCACTTGCCAGCCATCAGGGTACTGCCCAGTTGCAGTGCTGTCTTTGCCAGCCACCCAGAATCTGGAATGGCACCAGAGCACCCCAAAGTGCTGTCATGCAGGAATGGATTTCAGCCGGATGAGACCAGAGAAGCCTTGATCTGGAAATGAGCTCCAGGCATCAGAGTGTCCTGGGTTCAGGGCTGCCAGGCCAAGAAGAGCCAACTAGAATGCACCAGCTGCTTGCTGTGGGACAGGAGCTTGCAGTGCATGGCCTCATTCCATGCAGAGATCTGGAAGACTAAGTGTTTCTATTCTTTGGTGCAGGCAGAATTTTAAGATGGCCCCCACGTCCCTGCTGCCTTGTACACACGCCCTGTATCATCCAGGAACAGTGAAAACAGTGGCTTTTACTTCTTTGATCACTCGTGTTTTATGGAACAGAAGGCTTTAAGAAAGGGAGGTAATCGAAGTGGGTCTGACCCAATCACACAGATGAGATTAAAGGAAACAAAATGAAGATCTGGGTCTAGGTGTCAGAGACAGAGGATCCATAGATTCAAAATACGAAAGGGGCTAGAGAGAGAACAAATCTCTGGCCTTAGAGGTGGCAGGGGCTCCCTGAGAAGAATCTGAGCGCGTCCTCTAATGACGGAGTCGCCCTTGGCAGAAACCTGGAGGAAGAAGGTGAGGGGCCGAGTCTGCCAATGGCCCGAATAACCATGTACGAGGACCCCCCAGCATCTGCTGCTGCTTTGATTCTGGCCTTGTGAGATCCCAGGCCAGCCGGCCAGCCATGCCGTCTGGATTTTGGATCTAGAATCCTGGGAGCCAAGAAATAAGTGCCATCTTAAGGCCTAAGTGTGTGATCACATGTTTTTCAGCAATAGAAAACCAATATATTCTTTCCTCCTTTATTTTCTTTGCAGTGCAGGGCTTCAATCTATGGCCTTGTGCATGCTAAGCAGGCATTCTGCTGCTCAACTATACCCCCAGTGCTATATACCCACTTTACAGGTGAAGAGTTGAGGCTTGGAAAGATTCAGTTGCTCAAGTTTGGAAAGCTGGGATTCAAACCTATTAAGTAAATGTTAAGCAATAACATCCATCCAACATGGGGAAAGGAGAGATGTTCAAATGAGTGGGTAGAGTGTGGGACTCTCCTCCTCTGGGCTCTGAGCAGTCTTAGAGATCTCCTGAATGCACAGGGGTAAGGACACTCCTTTTCCCATGCAGCCCAGGGCCTCACAGGAAAGGCAGGGCTGGCAGAGACCAGGTGATGGGGAAGAGGCCGTATGAAGACAGGTATATGTATGTAAAGTCACTGTGAAGTGGCCAGGCCTATAGAGCTGGTATAGACAGCTGTGTCAGGAGAAGCCTGGGCAACCCTCGGCCAGCAGTTCTTGGGCTTAAACATATCTGAAGTGAATTCATTAGAATGACTCAAGTTGGGAGTGGTAGTGCACACCTATAATCCCTGCACTCTGGGAGGCCGAGGCAGGAGGATGGCAGGTTTGAGTCCAGTCTGGGATCTATAGCAAGATCTTTTCTCAAAATAAAACAATGAGAGATCTGGTGATGTAGCTGGGAATGAAGGCACTGGGTTCAATCTCCAGAACTAGGGGGAAAAAGAGAGAAAAAGAAAAGAAAGAATGACTCAGAGGGCTTTAAAGAAAATCCTGACCACCCCAAGATCAGGTTCCCCACCTGTCTGACAATCGTGCTAAGGGATTCATCTTTAAAGTTCTGCAGATGATTCTATAGGTGGGGTGCTCTGGGAAAGAATGACTGAGGCAGAAGGTCAGCTTTCGGGGAGGGAGATCAGGAAGTCACAAGCAGTGCCAGGATCTCCAAGCAGCTGACCAACAAGGAGTACTTTCTTTTTTTTTTTTTAGGGCAGGGTTTACAGGGTGTTTAGGGTCTCACTATAAGATCAGACTCATGGTGATCCACCTGTTTACAGTCTCCCAAGAGCTGTGATTATAGACACTTGCTACCATGCCCAGTCTCAGTTGTTGGCTTAGCATGCTCTGGGAGCAGGGCCAGCATGGCAGGCCTGGGGATCGAACCTCTGGCTCCTGTGCCTGCTTGTAGGCGCTTTAATCTGCCGAGCTATTTGGCCAGCCCAATGAGGAGTTCTTGAAGAGTCTTGTCATTCCTGGATTGTCTGATGGCTCTGAACAGTTGGACTTGTGATGTTGTCCCCAAATCTCAACCGTTGTAGCACTGATTCCGAAGGTCTTGGGTGCTCCCAGCCTGGGACTGTCAGGCCCTCACTCTACAGGGTCGAGTGGCTCAGGGGCTTGGAGACTGACAGCTTTCTTCACACCTCACTCATCACAGCCACCAGACACAAGCTCTGATGTGCTGCGATCATTTCCTTTGGATTGATACCCAGTGGTGGGACTTCTGCATCGCCTGAATTACTGAAGTGCTACTGAAATCCGCGCAAAATGGAACCGAGCAGGGGTCCTCCTATGGATGAAAAAATAAAGATGTGTTGTATGTACACCATGGAATATGTAGCCAGAAAGAAGAATGCAATCCTGCCATCTGTAGCAGAATGGAGAGAATTTGGGGACAGTGGGTTAAGTGAAATGCCAGGCACAAAACAGCAAATCCCATATGTTTTCACTTACAAGTGGAAGCTTAAAAACAGTGGCCTCATAGGAGCAGAGAATAGAACAATGGTGGGAAGAGTACCAGGGATCAGGAATGGAGGAAGGATTTAGAACAGGTTCAGGAGTGCAGGTAGATGAGAGGAGCATCTGTTAATGTGCTGGTGTTGACAACAATTACGTTTAAACTTCAGTGTGCTAGTAGAGGGGATTTGGAATGCTCCAAACTCAAAGAAGTGATAAAAGTTTGAAGTAATAGATTTGTCTAATCGAGTCATGGGATGTTTTTATAAATATGCACATGATGTATCAGTTGAAAATAGGGAAATATTTGTAAAAAGTGAACCACTGTAGACTCCTAACAGCACCCCTGTAGTGTGAGCGTCAAGTCTGAATGGTTCACTTGGGTTTGCTTGTCTAAGATGATCCCAATAATGCTGCTTCAGTGAGTTTGAAGCCAGACAATTGGCTTCTTAGCACAAGACCCTGGACAAGTCCCTACCTCTTGTGTCTCAGCTTCTCTTTGGGCTGAGTGAATGTTATCGCAGCACCTGCAGCACAGGGTGGTTGTGTGGATCAGACAAGGTAGCCTTGCAGGGAACTTAGCATAGTACCTGACACAAGTAAGCTCTTGGTACAAGTTAGCTCTTGCTTCAGTCAGTGTTGTGGATTCCACAATCCAACCAAAATGCCAAGTGACCTCTAACTGCCATTGCAACAATGTAGGAGGTGGGACACTGAAGAAGGGATCCGTCATGAGAGCGCCATCTCCACACATGCATGCATTGGTTGGCTTTTTGGTTGCTGGGGCAAAATACGTGATACCTACAACTTGTAAGTAAAAGGTTTATTCTAGCTCAGGGTTGCAGAGTAGTCAGTCCATGGTTGGCTGGTTCCAATGCAGAAATATTATGGCTGAGGGAGTATTGAGCTGTTCATCTTAAGGGAGCAAGGAAGCAGGGAAAGGGAGCAGTGCCAGAAAAGAAGGGGCCAAGAATCCAGACCGAGACTCCCAAGGTCATGCCTCCATGACCCGCCTAGACACACCCACAAGAGTGCTTTCTTAATATCCTAGGCCTCTCTCAAGCTGGTCAACTTGATAGTCAAGGCTATCACAGAGCTCTATATGGGGATCACCCTGTCTTTTCAAAGATATGTGTGAAGAGAGAGGAATTTTTAGGAGGAAATAACATGAAGCACATGATGGGTGGGTTAGTAACAGCCCGGCAGCACACACATAAAGAGGAAGTGATGGTGAGGGGAACTCCAGGAGATGAGAGTGGGTGCAGGTCCAAATAAGCCACCTGTTGATGACAGCATTCCTGTCATCGCCTGAGACAAAAGCCCTAGGATGGTGCCACATGGAGGGAAGGACAGGCATAGGCAGCTCACTCAAAATGATATGCCCCGCCATTTCCTATGTGAGATTTCTTTCTCTCACTCCCATTCCTCCTACGAGTTGTATTACTGGATGACACTCTACAGTGCTTTGTATACAATAAAACTTCAATTAACCAATTGCTCAGGGGAATGGGGTGTTATGGTTAATTGAATTATCTGATTAACTGAAAGTTAATTAGCCAGAAACCCTTTGTAATTCTGAAACATGCTGTGAATAGTCCAGCATGTCTAAGTTCCTTTTCTTACCAAGGTTAGGAAGGTCGGGAGTCAAGACAAAAGGAAGCGTTGCCAGGTTTAATGGAGGGCCTCAGTGTGTGTGTGTGTGTGTGTGTGTGTGTGTGTGTGTGTGTGTGTGTGGTGCTTTACGTAAATCTGTTGCTTGACTTAACCCTTGTAACTCTTACGTAAAGCTCCCATTGCTACCTCGTGTTACAGATAAGGAAGTGGAGAAATGAACTAACCATTATTGAATAGTGCTCTGATGATTGATACAATGAAAGTCTTACGGTCGTCATCTCTGAGTTCTCCATGGTAGAAGAGTTTGGGGGGCCGTTTGAACTATGGCAGCTTCAACATAAACCCAGGCAGCGACCCCCATTAGCTGCATGCTCTGGCCTCAGCTAAGGGCCAGCAAACCACAGCAGTGAAATGCCAGCTTTCAAAATCAGGCTGGGCTCAAATTCCTATTCACTTTGCGTGAGTTGGGGGATTTTTCAGCCACCAGCTTCTTGTTACTTCTTCTGTCTCGGCTGACTTCTTCATCTTCACAATCTGTCGCCATCTATTTTGCAGAACTGCTGGGGCCTGCCTAATTTGGAGCTTGAGACTGTCATCAACAAGGCCCGAGGTCACTTTAGGGCAGCAGGGATACACTCTTTTAAAGATGTGACCAAGAGACCGTGTGGTAAGACACTCTCTGATGTTTCCCTGAATGTTAAATCCTGTGTTATTTTCATGTTCTTTCTCCTTGACGTCCACTGTGAAAATCGTGCTCTAGCAGGTGTATGCTTTGCTAATTTTGGTTCATTCTGGTTTTCCTCCACTTGCACCTCTAGCAGAAGAGAATACAGTAAGCCCCGCAAGCACTGCTATCTCCTAAATCAAGCCTTCGTTTGGTGAAGTCACCAACCTCTGCTGCGGTCATATTTTTCAGGGAATGAAAGAACAGTTCCTTTTGCTCAGAATGCTAGATTTATATTGCTTTCACTTAGCAAGTGAATAATTGATAAGTTGGGGCATATTAACATTGAACAAAAGAGCCCAGTGGTCCAAGGGCCCTGGGAAGGCTGCCTAAATCAATATACACTCATGAATTTTGAGTGCAAAAGGTTGAGCCAAGAAAGAACACAGATTTAGACCCCCATTAATATTTGAAGCAGGCTCTGCACACAAGAGGCTTGCCGTAGCCCAAATGTTAACTGAAGGGGCTTCAGAGAAATGGCTTCTAAACAAATTTGAAAGCAAGAGAATTTCCCCTCCAAAGACTTTGTGAGAAAAATCAATCATCTCTGTTGTTTCTGCTGTCAGAAGCTATCTATTAAAAATCTCATTAGAGTGCTCTTAGACCAATTAAACATTCCGATGCAACACTTCCCTGAATCAGTGTTTATCACTGCAGGGAATGCAAACGGGTGGCCCTTTGCGATCAACCCAGATAGGAGAGAACATTCCAGCCACTCCTCCTGGTTCCAGCCTCCCCACCAGGAGCCAGCCTTAAAATCTGATTAATCTAAACATTTTGTAAGGTGTCAGAAGAGGTTTCTTGCCTGATGCTTCACGGATACCCAAACTGCCAGCCTGACTGAGGCCAAAATAACATCATCATTCACAATTTGCTTGTGAAATGCCTCCTGCCAGGCCCCCAATTTGAGCTATCAAAGCTGGAAATTCTAAACCAAGTGGGAGAATGTTTGCAAATTTTACTCATTCATTGAACCCGTGTTTGGTTGGGAAGTCATCCCTAGCGTTTGATACCAACAAGCTGCTCTGGCCATTGAAAGTATCCAGTGCCAGATGGTCACCGCGTTGGCCAAGGAGGACCTTCAATATCAGAGACCATGTGTGCACTGTTGTTCTAATCACTTAGGCACAAGGACAGTTCTCAGTGGGTAAGGGGTAAATTAGTTACTTTAATTAATTAATTAATTAATTAATTTTATGTATTTTAGTACAGGATCTACAGGGTCTTACTACATAGATAAGATTTATAGTGATTCTCCTATTTTCAGCCTCCCAAGTGCTGGGATTATAGGCGCATGCCACCTTGACCAGGCTCAATTGCCTGTCTCGGAAAGCCCCATGGGTGGGGCTGGCTCGGCACACCGGGGATTGAACCCCGGCTGCTGCACTCCGCTTAAGCAGGTGCTTTTGTGTGCTGAGCTATCTGGCCAGCCCGGGCTCACCTTTTAGAAGACATGAAATAGAATCTCACAGTTGGAAGGGGCTTGAGCGGTTATTTGCCAATAGCATACACATCATAGCAATTGCTCCATTCAGACTCAAGCTGTGCCTGCATACCCCGGGAGGCTGGTGAGCTTTCTACCTTGTGAATTCAGCCTGGTGCTCCGGTAGCTCTGACTCCTGGGAGGAGGATCCTTGTAGTGAGCTATCACCTGCCTTCGTGTGTCTCAGGCCCAAGAAGACCGATGCTGAGCTTAACCGAAGCAGTTTCTGAGAATTGTCAGGACCCTCGCTGGATTGGTAATTCTGCTCTTCTTCTTGAAGTAACTAGTTAATCTGGAGCATAACTCAGAGCATGTGCTTAGGACTAGGTCTTAGTGACTAAAAGAAAAATGTGTCCCCTACATCGTGCAGACAGTATTTGTTCTTCTTCTTGGAATTCCCATGCTATGTATCTTAATGAATTAAATGAAAATTTGCAGTCCCATGGTCCTAAGGAACACTTATGTGTTCCAGATGCTCTCGGCCTATGCATGTGTTTCTGTGTTTCCTCTTTAGTTCCCTAATTAGCAAGCAAGGCAAAGTCAAGGCCACAGCTTTTAGACTTGCTGGAGAGGCTGAACTTCTTAAAAGGAAGCCACAGTTTGGAGATTAAAAGCTCTTTCCTATAATTCCAAAAGGCCTTTTTACTGTGTTCAAAAATATTTGCTACCTAGTCTGATTTGTCCTCTCATTGGGACACTTACCTTGGTCTGGGCTTCTCCAACTTCCCCTTTGAGTGATGCTCTATTGCTCTTACCTGGGGGAAATAGTGAAGCGGCTGTAGCGGATGTGCCCGCTGAGGATTCTGTCTTGGGCTGGACTTGGCTGGTCTTGGCCAGGGGCCTGCTCACCGTGCTTGCTTTGAGCTGATGGCAGGGCTGTGGCTCATTTGCATGTCTGGCAGTTGGCTAGCAGGCAGCTGGAGGTCTTGCAACACTTGCCTTTCAGCTGCCAGCAGGCTAGCTTGGGCTTATGCACAGAGGCTATCTCCAAAAGGACACAACAAACACGGATGGCTTTGGGAACTGTCATCATGTCACTTCTGCTGCATTCTATTGGCCAAAGTGAGTCATTCAAGGATAGAGGAATCGATTAAGTCTGTGGCTCAAGAGCTCCAGGAAAGGCAGCTGTTAAAGAAAATCTGGCAGACTGCACATTGCAAGGATTGATCTTGTCATAGCCTCTTAGTGGAGGCTCTTAGAAGTTGTCCAGCAGGAATCCCAGACGATAATCATTTTATTGTTAACTTTAGCAATACTTCCTAGCTATATCCTTTCTAAAATCTGTGAAAAAGAAACTGGATCCAACTGTTAATGGCAGAAGCTGGGCAAGTTTGTAGGCCATCCTGAGGACAGAATTGAGGGGCTCCTGGTTTGAGCAGAAGCAGCTGCTGGACATCCTAGAATTCAATGATTCTTTGACCCTGAGATTTCTGAGCTATGATCCCTATGTTAGCCATGCTAAAGTGGAGGCTTCAGAAACAAGGCTGACTTACAGATGGTAGAGCTGAAGCTGAATGCAGGCAAATGCGGCTTGAGGATCTGGGCTTGTTTCTTAACGCTCTGCTCAGCATCCCTGAGTCCATCAGCAGTGAGTGCAGAGCCTGGGAGGAAGCGAATTCCTATGCTGTCAATGCCTGCACTAGTCAGGCCTAGGTCTGAACACTGCACAGGAGTCTGCGTTCTCACCCGGAACTCCCCACTACTCGTAGCTCCATTTTACAGAGGAGGGAACACAGGTCCTGAGAGCTTGCGTAGCCCACCTGAGCATGAACCGCTGGGAAGTGGTTGTTAGGGCTGAAAGAAAGCTGGGTTCTGTCTGACCCTTCACTAACACTGTCTTCTAGGGTTTCCATGTCCTTGGCCACAGCTGAATGCACTGTCTGGGTAATGTTCATGGAATAGAGGCCTGGCTAGCTCCTGGTTCTGGGGGCGCATATCACTGTGCCAGGACCCTGCTGGACTCTGCATATTGAATCATAGCGGGGCAGAGGGCATCAAGTGGTGAGACAGAGCAAGCACACCAGCTTGGGTCTCTGTCCTTTCCTTATAAGGCCACTATACCATTGTGGGCACCCCACCTTGCTAATTCCATTATTCTTAATCAGCTCCCCAGAGACCAGATACTATCAATATATGATTTTGGGAATTTGATATCCTATGTACGAATTTTGAGGGCACAAATGTGACCACTTTGCAGGGTTTTTTGAGGGGTGCTGCTGGTGACGATGGTACTAGGGATTAAACTCAGGGCCTTGGCACTGAGTGACATCTGCAACACTTTTTATTCTGAGATAGGGTGTCACTGAGTCACTGAGCTGCCCAGGTTGCCCAGCAACTTGTGATTCTTCTGTCTCAACCTCCAGGGTGCTGGGATTACAGACCTGTGCCATCAGACTCTGCTACAAGCTCAGGTTTTTTAGCAGCAAGAAAAGAAAGCTCTCTACTAACCCCATCCCTGTAGCCTGTGAGTCTGTCCCCTTCGTGGGAGGAGCCCCTGTTAACAATGTAAGGATGCTGGGGAGATAGCTCAGTGGTCTAAGTGCCTGTCTGGCAAGCACAAGGACCTGAGTTCGATCCCTGGTACCACATGCCATGCTGGTCCTGGATCCCTGGGTGCGCTGTAGTCCCTGAAACTAGCTGTGGTGGTGCATGCCTATAATCCCAGAGCTGGGGAGGCTGAGACAAGAGGATCATTACAAGTTTGAGCTGTGTAGCTGTACCAAATAAATAAGGGCCCTGGAGGATAGCTGGGCTAGACACCTGAATGAAGCAGCTGCTGCTTCCCCTGAATCCTTTGGGCCACTTGGGTTGCTTTCGGTGGCCCACACAGTTAGGGCAGGACAGGCTGGCTGGTGCGAGTCACACTCACACTGTTTTTAATCCAGAAGGACTCAGAAGGGAACCGCTGAGGACCGATGAAAGCAGCCTGCACCATTGCTCTTGCCTGAAGGAAACACGCTGGTGATGCCTGTGGCAGTAAGGAACTTGTCAACTCGGGGAGGTGGGGAGGCAGAGGCTGGGTGGGGCGCCAGGCTCAGCAGGCGGCCCAGCAGGCACTGTCAGAGGAAGGAAGATTAATGTGGGGATTCAGGCGCGTGCAGGGGTCAGGGTGACATCAGTTGAGGAAGCCTGACTGCTAAAGCCCAGTTAGCTTAGTCGCAGAAGCCACTGGGCTCCTCTCCACCAGCTCAGCACTTCCCAGGGCCTCCCAGGTGGCTGCCCCGGCCTGCCTCCATCCACCCGCAGCTTCCCCTCTCTGCCTGCTCTGCTGCTTCCTCTGATGTGGCTGAGGCTGCCCTCCGCTCCTCTGTGCTCAGCCTGGGGAGTTCCACATCCACACCTCTCTCTGCTGGGGTGACCTATTCTGCCCTGGATGTGTGAAAGCAGACAGGTGGCCCAGGGTGGCAGGCTTTGTCCTGCTGGGCCTCTGCCTGCAGGGGGCTCCTGAGTCAGCTCTCACAGCGCAGGGACGACCTCTGAAGCGCAGGGACGACCTCTGAAGCGCCGGTCCTGTGTGCACAGCAAGGGCACTCAGAGACTGTGCTTTTGTCACCCGCGTTGGCAGACTTCCTCATCCCCCATCCCTGCTGTGACATGCTGGGGCCCCTTCTGCAGTCGGTAGTGCCCTGGGCACACCTCCCTTGTGGCCCACGGGCCCTTGGATGCAGGGCTCAGTGTCGGGCTGGTGTGTACGCCGAGGGACCACACTGGTGTCCACATCTCAGTGAATGAAAGGGGGCAAAGCGGAGCCGAGTCCCCTTTCAGAGCACCTTTGACTCCGTCTGGCTTGGCCAGCATTTAATTTGCCTTCTCGAATCCCCCAGTTTCCACTCCTCGTCACTCTTGCTACAGTTGCCTAAAACAACAGTACCTGACAATCTGGGGAGAAAGCGGTCAGAGGCCTTAACTGTGCAGTCAACACGGGGCGGCCAGCGGTGCTCTTCAGGGAAGGGGAGGATGGGAGAACCAAGGTGGGGCGAGGGCTCCGAGGAAGGAAGGGGGCCCTGGGTGGGCCTTCATGGGCAGAGAAGCAGCCTGTGCATCAGCACAAGGGTGTATGTGAGCGCTCGTGCCTGTGTGTGGGGTGAGCTGTGAGATGTAATATGCACATATGTGTGTGTACATGCGTGTGTGTAGCTATGTGTGAGAGAGCTCTTGCCTGTATGTGTACAGCGGGTGTGTGTGAGATCATGTACATGTGCCCATGCACATGTGAGCTTGCACACGTGTGTGCCAGAGTGCGTATGTACGAGGTGGAGTCTGCAGGAGGAGCCTGGTTGCTAGGCAGCCCACACTGGCCAGACCTCTGCAGCAGCCAGCGCAGCAGAAGGGAAGGGAGCAGCTGCCCCACTCCGTGGTTCTGCTTTTCAGCTCCAGGCTGGCCGTGGAGCCTACAGCGCTGCTGCCTCCACGTAAAGGACTAAAGCGCTGAAAATAACTGTGGCCAGCTCACAAGGGGAGCTGGTGACCTCTGAATTGCTCCTTGGACATGTGGCTTCCTTTCCTCCTGTCTCAGCAGAGTGTCCCTCTTGGAGCTGCTCTGCCTGTACAGCCTACTCTGCTCTGCCATCCCGTTGGCTGCTGAGACCTTGGGAGGCTGCCAGCGAGTCACTCCCCCCCAGAGGTGCTTGCTGCCTCCACTGGTCCTTCTTAGTTCCATTGCTTTCACACCCTCATGGAGGCCACCCTGAGCCCCAGTCCAGCCAGCCTCCTTCCCTGCACACTCCTTAGGATACCTGTGTCCACATCTTTGCAACTTGACTCTTGTTTGTTAAAGTTTTCTGTTCAAAGTGCCTTTATTGTCTCACAAAATCATATTATCAGCTCCAAATTCACTTCGTCCCTGAGTTTCTCCTGCTTGTATAACCCTGGTCCTCTGCTTGTGCTTCAGCGGCAACCCTTCCCTGGGCACTCCAGGCAGGTCTACACTGCCTGCCACTGCATGCAGACTGCTTGCTCTGGAGCAACAGAGGCCCTGCTGGTGCACCCACAGTTCAGGGCAGGGGATGATGTGTAATTGGCACTTATTGGGTGGAGGAAGGAGACACCCACCAGCTCGGCGGGGCCCTCTGCAGATCACCATCCTCCCAGGGATTCAGGGACAGCTCTGTGGCAGCTCTTGCTGTTGGCCAACCTCCTACCTCTTGGTCTTGCTCCTGTTCTTCTGCTGGACTCGGTTCACTCCAGTTATTTTCACAGCCTCCAGGGGCTGCTTGTGACCTTTGAATCCAACCCGTGTCTTGCTAAGCACCACTGGTTTTTCCAGG